TGCCTGTGCTTAGTAGATATCTCCCTCGCTATTGAGCAAGTACGTAGCACATGCTACAATGTGTACATTCTCGTACTAGTCTTGTAAAGATGAGATCTATTGCGCTTCAATGTTGATGATGAAGATATGAAATTCCGTCAGTAATTTAGGGTTATAGATTGTCTCAATATAGTCAAGGAGATCTACATGTTGCCCATCTCAATTGTAATATCATAAAAAAAATCTTTCTTAATTTCCATTGCACGAACTCTTAGTTTATTTGGGAATTATGCTCATTATCAGACGATTCAGTGGTTGAAAATTTAAATTAAAAACGAAAGCAAGAAAGAGTCAAAACAAACGTTTCAGAACTAAAAACAAGCGTGCGTAAGTTTTCAAGAGAGATGTAAAGTGTCCTCCGATGCTGTTTCACACGTGCCGAATACGGCAGGCTCTGCCGTGAGAGGAACAACGGCGTACAGTCGTGACCCATTTCGGGGGGACAACGTGTGACTTGGGAGAAACGGAAAAACCACGAAAATTCACGGGCCAAGCGGTTGGCCTCTAAGTCCTCGGCCTTGACGGTGCATCAATTCAACTCGCCAATTACGAGTGTCGAAACGACACCCACCCGAAATAGTCCCTCAAGACATTCTAAAGGTAATTAGTATAATCTAAATGCTCAACGGCCGCTATCCTTTTGCTGTGGCAGAATTGCAAATTATCTTAATTTTTTTAAATTTCTTTCTTTATTTTCCTTCCCACTTGTGACGTGCGACACCGTGCTACACAGGTGCGCATTTAAGTTGACGGAGAAGGACATCGACAAGGTTTCACAAAAAGGTGTCGCTGTCGGAAACTTTTTCGCTGACCTAGTGAGACGTAGAAAGGTAGAGCGCAGCATTTCGGAACAAGGACGGATACAGTTCATTTAGCAGCAGTTTATTCCATTTACCTGTACTCATTAAATGGAATAACGGATTGCTTGCTGGGTGGTCTCTTTTCCCTCCATTCAACCAGCAATTTCGTGTGCGACTGATTTGAGGATCTTCGTGCATCTGTTGGTATTTCAAGTGCAATTTTAAAGTTAAAGAAAGGGTTTTGTGCTTCATAATAAACATTTACATTTTTTGCGTATTCTTTTTTAGCTGAGAGAATTGCCTTGATTCAAGTAATGCATTAATGTTGTGTGCTTAGGTTGAAATATTATCATAATTTAACATGATAATACGTCCACATATTTGTGATCCGGTTTGTGGTAGAAATGAGAAAAAAGATTAGATTGCTCACGTGTTTAAGTAATTTGAGCAACACTTTAACAAACTTTTATCAGAACGTGATCCACCATAATAAAATAAGATATCATGTGATTATCAAAGTAATGTCATTCTTAATGTTTTAATTCGAAATAAGTAAGTCCTTAAGTATTCTATGATACAAACTAATGTTGATCATGAAGAATAATATTCTTTTCTTTTGATTTTCTTTGTCGTATTGCAAACATTGTACGAAAATAAATTGTATTCATTATAAAATAAATTTCGTCGAAAATTAGTATAATGACACGTTCATTAAAAGAGCGTTTTCCAAACATTGAAAGTATACTTTGGAGTTTGTGTTCCAAACATTTCTTGGTCACCTGAAGAGCACAAGTGATTATTTGAATCTTTCTAGCTTGTGATTATGAAAGTTTAGATGTACAGCTTCTGCAAAATAAGACGCAAATTCCAAATATGATAATCTTATCGCAATTGCATTAGTATTTTAACGCGTACCTTAACGTGAGCAACATCAGGTCCCTTCAGATTTAATGTTTCTACAAGCATTAACTTTGAAGTCCCCGGAAATTTTTGTATCTGGTATCTGGAGGTGTGAAGTTCCGATATATTCAGTTAACTTTATTTACAATTTGTATGAAGCACTGTGACACTCAAGTGTGATTAATTTATCCGAGATTTTATTGAAGAACTCGATATTCTCAATACAAAAAAAATGTATCCTCAGAATGGTCGCATTTCTTTTCAAATTATATTCAAACGATCAATTTTCTAAAAAAAAATAGATCGTGTACAATCTATTCATCTAGTATCTGCACACACATCTTGTGCGACAATTAATCATTGACGTAATTAATAATCAATTTTCTAGAAATACTACATCTATAGGCAATAATTGTTCTTAAAGTACTTAGTACCTGTTTTCATGCGACATTTCCATACATTACTACGTTGTCCAGCTTATTTTTGAAGTTTATACAATTTACAATCTTAAATTGACAGTTATAAATTTGAATTATTCATTTATCCAGAAACATGAAATGACTTAGTGATTGTCAGAAAAGTCTTCACTTCTTGACTCAATGTGAAGAAGTATATGTTATGTGCAGATACAATTTTCCCCGTTCCTCCCCTCGAGGAAGCTGAGCGAAATCCCAATATAACGACGGTGATGATGTTCTGAGTTCCATTGGCGATGCCCGTCTGGCACGGAGCGCACGGCCGCCGCGGGCGCGAGTGGGGCCGGCCGGCTGCGGCGAGTGAAAGGCCAGGGCAGGCGGGCCGCGCGCCGAGGGCTGTCCCGGAAGACGGCGCGCGCGCGGCTCGTTACGCGCAGGGGCGTGGCGTGGCGTGGCGCGGCGCGGCGCGGTGCAGGTGCCGACGCGCGCCGGAGGTCAAGGGCGAGTTGCGCCACGGGAACCGGTCTCCTCGCGTCTCGACTCGACTCGCGCGCAGAAGCACCCCTTGCAGTTTACTGTGCAGTTGGGCAGGGTCGGGGTTAAGTACTGTGGGGTCCGCAAGCACGAAATCGTTTCGTCCCCCCCTCTCCGAAAAGAAAATTCATAATTATTAAAAAAATACAATAAAATAGCACAGTAGACTATTTGTTTAACAGCTATTTTACATATTCAAACATTTTTTATGTTTTTCCGAATATTTTATATTTTTAACGTAGGGCAGAGCTCCAATGGGCCGGGCTCATAAACAGCAGTTATTTAGCTCGAAGAGAAACCCTTGGTGAAACATTTTATTCATTTGCAAATCATTTTTTTGTCAACTTCAATAAGGAATAAATTATAAACAGTTTCGAAAGATGCTTTCGCACCCATGTCCGCCCGTGTAATGACCGCGATCGCGTTCTGTTCACCGCGGCGAGAGAGAAGGCGTGGGTGGCAGCACGGGGTGGCGCAGCGCCTGGCGCGTGGCGGCTCGTGGGCGACAATTTCCGGGTGGCGCTGGGCGAAACTGGCCGACGGGCGATCTTTCGCCGACTCCCGAAGTTCTGCAGCCCGCGGCAGCCGCACGGGCCTCTCTCTTCGACGCAGGAAATTGGCGCTACGTCGCCGTCGAGAACACTGCCCGTCCCCTCACCCCACCGCCGCTGTTCGCCTCGACCGCCCAGAGCGACGGAGGGATCCTAAACCTACGCGATAGCACAAAGGCATCCACCAGGCGAAGTTCCCATAATTATCCGTAGCCGATGATTTTGGTTTTCTTAAGTTCTGTAGAATTGAATTGAATTGAATTGATGCCTTATTTTTACGTGGCGAGACTCGGGCCATCAGGCCCGCTCTTCTGTCTGACCACGCAAATTTCGCTACGCTCCTTTCACCCACTGGCAGAGCAAGGAGGTATTTCTTGGGCGAGAAACAGGCGATTTTGAATTTAGCTCAGAGGCGTCATTTAGGCTTAAGGATCTTTTACATGCAAGTAAATCTACTAACATGGGACAGCCGGCTTTACTTCCCCTCTTATGGAAGGCGTACGAAGGATTTTCTCGCCCTTAAAAATCCACGGCTTCGATCAGGTTTGAACCCGCCGTATACCAGTCCAATACGCTAACCGTTACACCATCGCCGCCGCTTAGAAGCAAAGAATAGGGCACAGTATTTCGCTTATTTATTTCTACCGAATCGTCAAAACATAGCTTAAACATCGAACCGTTCGGATGGCGATTTCTTAAAATTAACTTGAATTCAACGTTCGAGATGTCGCTAAGTTGCTTGTAATTATCGGAACACTGCGTGCAAGCATCTACGTGAGTACAAGAGGAATCCGTCCGTGATTAGCGTCTGTATGACGTAACGCGAACAGGCACTCAACGTGACAAGGGCACTGCCCGCGTTCGTATTTCCTCCTCGCCATCGCGATGCAATCTAAATTTCACGCAAGGTTTTGTAATGAGGTAAGGGCGAGGGGCACGGACGCGAATGAAGGAGCTCCATTCTCCATCGCATTGTTTCCTCGTCTTTTTTTTGCTCCGAAGCACTCGTTAAGTGCGCTGAAAGCCGCATCTTGACTACCGGCGCTCCGGGAGCGCAGTTCATTAGCACTCCAAAAGCCCAGTAACAGCTTGTTGCAACTAATATCACATCTTTCGGTTCCTCGTCATGTGATAGGAACATGAATGAGATGGGGTATTTAAACGTACCTCGTGTTGTTACATGGAAATGTGTTCTTTTTACTTTTAATATTTTTTTATTATTCTCTTGATATGTTGTTGCAATAATGAAGACAACATTATTAGAACGCGGAGACAAGATGTTTAGAAACACAATAGCATTTATTAGTATTGGGAAGCAAAACGAATTGGAAGTCATGAAATTCTGTTTCCTTGATTACTATTAAACTATTTTCAATTCGAATATTAAAAAGAGAGAAACACTAATTGTGGTTTCACATCTTTTTTTAACAAAACTTTTGATAAATATGCTACAGATTCTAAGTAGAAATTTACATATTTCTCTCTTTTAAAGCTTGTTATATTCTTCAGCGCGTAGGGTATTGATACCTGGCAGTAATTACATATAATATTTTATTGACAAGAAAATCAGATTCTTGCAAGCAGAACATAAAAGCGAACAGCACAGAAGATTCCAAAAAGTTTATTTGCAACGTTATCTGTCCGAAAACTTTTCCCATTCCGCCAAGTCGGGGCAAGTAATTATTGCATGGCATCTCGATCGAGAGTCGTGCCGCTGCCCGGCAGCGTTGGGTCTCTTCACCGGCGCCTCCGTGTTGCAGAATGGCTACCCGGCGCGCCGCCGCTCGCTGGTGGACGACGCGCGCTTCGAGGCGCTCGTCGTCAAGCAGACGAAGCAAAGCGCGTTGGACGAGGCGCGCCAGCGCTCCAACGGTGAGTAGCGGAAACGTCTCAGCCCCTCCCCTCCCCTCCCCAACCTTACCACAACAGGGGCCTCGCAGCGACACGGACCGGCGTCGAGTTCTGTCGTTCTCACTCTGACAGTTTAAAAAAAAACTTATGAACAGATTTATTTTATGAAAAATCTATTTTTTTAATATTTGCAAAACATTATATGTCATTATTATACTGTTTAAAAGTCGAGTGTTCGACGGTTTGAGTTCTTTCGTACACATTCTGCCATTTACGAACTTATGAACTAATTCAACAAAAAATAATAAACGCACTTTTTAAATTAGTTAAAGTTCATATTTTATATCAGTATTATACTATATCAAACTCCAGTTCTCACTAGAGAAATATAAAGCCTTTTACAGAATGGCTCAGAATCATCTTTAATAAATAAACTTGTAGGACGTGACGAAGATGATCACTTTTTGACGCGTAACATGTCATTATATAATGAAATCGCACACGTGACATTCTTCTCCGACTAGAGGGCAACTCTTCATATATAGGTATTTGGAAGGTACAGTTTGTGATAGAGTAAAAGACTTCACGTACCTGCCAAACGCCGGTGCTAGATGGATTGCCTACCAATCAGGGGTAAATACTATGTATCTTTGTTTAATGAGTTGTACTACCACGTGAGGTGATCATAATTGATCTCCCTGTAATGCCTAATTTTGTGTTAAAACATTTATTCCGAGGCTCTTATAGATTTCTTTTTAATTATTCACAATAGTTCTACAATTCTTAAATGTGAAAAACTAAAAACAGTTAAAGAGAATAGAAGCATTTTCTAAAATACAATAGAGGGAAAATTATTCGGAAAATTATTCCCGTGAGGCCCCAGTTACTTTCTTTTCCTTCCCGTATCATAATAATTACAAGATGATGGTGGATGGTTTTTCGATTTCTCATGTGATATAACACGTACAATGGAATTACTACTTTTCTCTCTTAGTTATTGTATATTTTTGGTTGTATTTTGCATGATGGTGGTGGTTGTCATAAAAGACAATGTGCATTCTCTCTTTAGCTTCATCACTACGCTCTAGTGAATTAACATGAAAGGGACCGGCAAGTGGGAGGCAGATTAACCAGAAAATGCTTAATCTTCATAGTGGTGACAGGTAAGATAAATTTGTAGTACTAGTTTTGTATCGAACCAGACTCTACGACCCTTGAAAATATTTCGTTTCTGTTCAGTAAGAGTTCATTTTTCAAACATTGTATGATGTGTTTTGGAGCTTCTCGGGTTCTCAATTTGGTCTTGTTAAGAATGTTTTCGTATTTTTGTAAATATAAAAGCCCCCAAATCACAAACAGATGCTTTACTTCTCACTTGTAAATTTGGATCCTGGAGAGTTAAGCAAATAAAGTTAAAACGTAACTTCCGTCAAGAGTCGTACGATAGCCACTCGAGGTGAGCAACACCAAACCCGACCTAACATCACGAACTTCTCAGAAGCTTCCTCATAGTCTTAACTCTCCAACTCTGGTCACGGAGACTGGTTCACCAACAGCCTCATTATATTTAGCTCCCGTCCACCCATAACCTCACTCTCGGCGTCTTTGTCGCTCGTTTTTCCTCCTGCCCGAGCTGGAACGCACCTGGCACGCCGTCTCCTTCAGTCGCTTACGCATGCCCCCGCCCGCCTGCCCGCCTGCACGCTTGCAAGAGCGCCCGCCCCTGACTCCAGGCCGCGCGGCAACGGCGGCCTTGCCCGCGGTGGTCAGCCCGCCCTCCCGGCCGCTCGTCCGTCCGCCCGCCCGTCCGTCCACCTGCTCAAGGTCGCGCTCGCAACTTCCCTCCACGCGGCGCGGCGCCGCGCTGCCTCGTGCCAGCCCGCGCTCTCGATGATCGAGAACTTCGCTTTCTCAACTTCGCCCGCCGCTGCACTGGTCGCAGCGTTTTAGTTCTTGCGAGCGTCGCTTAGCGCGCGTCCGCTCACTGCGAGACCTTGTTTGGAGCCTTTCGTAACCGGTGCAGCGCCTGTTTGGCACGGGATTAATCACTTGGACAAAAGATCCAGGAGGATGATTCATCAGGGTTATTGCCGCGCGGATCGACCGTGTCGGTTTTCGTGGCCTGGGGCAACACGGATTGGGATCTCTGGGTCTTGGGACGGTTTGTGCTCTCCAAGGTGAAGCATTCGGGCAACACAATGCGTTTTTTTGCTTTAGGGAAGGCCACTGGTCGAAGCTGAAATTTGACTGTCATCTAAAAAAGGTTACATTTAATTACAAAATTGGGGCAAGAAAACAAGCAAAAAAAGAGAGCACATTTCAAGCGATAGCTCGGTTTATGCTCGTCCGATCCCTGTGCAAAAACTCCTAATTGTTAGTTACGGCCGAGGGGAAGCCCACAAAAATGTGATGAAATTTTCAACAATGATTGCTTCAGAGCTTGTTAGGATACGCACGATTCAAGGAAGGAAGCTTTCTTATTGGAATGTAGAAAAAATAAACTTATCATGCTGAGAAGATCAGGGTGAATGCTTAAAAGAAATTGTGGATCAGAAATATCAGGTCATGAAATATTTTAAAAACTGCTTATGAATATAGCTTCCTAGCGTTCTACCCTACAAATAAATATAAATTCGACATTAAAATAAATTTCGTGGTCATTATTGTTCCGGGGCAAGAATCACCGCGTATTTTCAGTACTAATGGAATTGAGCTTAAATATTGGGAACACTATGATGAAGAAGATATGATCCCAGCATTCTCTTGGTCCCAGAAAGAAACTACGTTCAATCCTGGGTTCGTTGTTATTGCTACCCGGGATGAAAAAATGAATGAATATATTTCATGAAAAAAAGACTAAGCTACAATAGTCGTTTGATTCTTAATTTGAAACTAAAATTTTAAAAACACTTCTCTAAAAATGATTACAAATATGATGAGGAAAGAGACTATGGCTGTTCAAGTACCAATCTCAAAAACGGAAAATGCTAACGGGTCCGGGACAGCGGATTTAACTTGTCGACCAGAGCATGTCGGATAGTGGATCTAAGAAATAATAAACCGATCTAGAAGGCGAGAGATCTCGGCTAGCGAATACGGTGGTGGTGGTAGTGGTGAGCTTGGGCGTGGGCGTGGGCGTGGGTGAGGGCGGCGCATGACACGTGCGTGTGTCGCAGACTGCCCAGCGGCCGAGGACGATGACGTCGCCGTGGAGGTCGTGGAGCAGATCCCGGCGCAAGAAGAGCAGGAGCCTGCGGTGCAAGGTGAGTCTCCCCGACCCCCCTCCCCCCGAATGTTTTGCATTTGCTTGCCCCCTGCTCCCTCTGCAAGGCGATCCGACTCTGATGAGACGAAATGAAGTATTGAGCTTTTTGCGGCTTAATCACATTTTCGGTTAGAGATTGCTTGGAAATTTGTCTCTATAACTACATTTTGAAGAAATAAGACTTGAACTTTTTGAAAAAATAATGCATAAATGGCTAAAAAGATACAGAATCTACTTCATATTGTTAGAACTCGGATCATCTGATTACGATATCCTTTATCTGCTTTGCAAACGGTGGGCGCACATGATTTATACCAACATATATTTCTATAAAATTCAATCATAAACATATGCCTTATTTGTTTAAACATTTGTAATATTAGATTGAAAAATACTATTTTATTCCTATTGAATTCATTTATACCCTTCTTAGACATCTAAAGGGGAATATTTTGGTAGTTTCTGTTTCTTCAATAAAATTCACCTTTAGCTCTTTTAAAAATATAGTGTTACGTTGCAAAATAAAAAAAAGAAAGAAAATTAGGTCCATCTTCAGGGGTGAACCAGGCTTCTCGCTCACAGCAAAGCGTCCAATGCTTTCGTTTTACGATTGCAAGCAACCGCGTGCAGCAAGCCCTCGCATGCGTCCCCGTGCGCTCGCCGTGTGCCCTTCGCCTCCCCTCCCCTCCCGCGCCGCCTGGCCGCCTGGCCGCTCGGCCGCTCGGCCGGTGGCCCGCTGAGCCCTGGATGTCGCATGCAGAGATCGCCGCAGAGGAGCCGCAGAGCCCTGCCTTCGAGGAGCTGCAGTCGGAGCCGGAGCCCGAGCCCGACACCCCGGAGCAGCTGCCCGACGCTCGCCAAGCCAGCGATGGTACGTGCGCTCGCGCTGCTCCGCGCGTTGCTCATTAGCGCCTGGCAGGGGTTTCCTTTCCACCACATGGCAATCCACCACATCTGGCAGGAAGGCACGACGTTTGTTCAACCACAATTTCATTCTAGCGATAGTAAAATAAGGGTTTCAAATTCCTGTGTAAGAAATAATTGCCAACTAGTGATTCTAACATAAAACTATTGTCCAAAAACTTGGTACACGAAAGTAATACAATTTTCGAAAAGTAAACAAAGACATTTATAAGTCAATTAAGTATTTCTACTTTCACATCCACATCTATCAGGAAGTCACAATGTTTATTCCACCATAATTTTATTCTAGCGATCGTGAAAATAAGGGTTTCAAATTCCTGTGTAAGAAATAATTTCCAAATAGTGATTCCAACATAAAACTACTGTAAAAGCGTGGTACACGAAATTAATCCAATTTTCGAAAAAGTAATCCACAAAGGCATTTATAAATCAATTAAGAATTTCTACTTTGGGAGGAAACGTTACTTCCTGAAATAGTAGTAAATAGAAACTGAGTTTTCAATTCACCGTAATTAAAGAAAGATAAACAAGCAAATCTATTTCTTACGAGTTGATGGCCTTGTAGGTTTAATACATTTGTGAAAGAAAAGCTCAATTTAAAACACAAATTTGCGTCAAATGCATCTTAGAATGCTCACGTAGAATTTTTTGGTACTCTACGAACTAAGGACACGCGGCCCTTCTTAATTCTCGGCATAAGTGGTGGTGGTGCAAAATTACATCACAAATATCAATTTTATTTTAAATTAATTAATCGCACTAGAGTTACTAGTACGTCGGCAGTTAGATAACAATATTCCCTAAAACGCAAACACTAATTGCAATCCTATTTACGAAACAGGCTGATTCACTGAAAATTCACTGAAATTTAATGTAATTTCAATTAATTATGGCAGTGTTGTCCATTAGCTCCCAAAATAAAACCAAAAAAATCAACCCAATATTTCGGATGAGCCGCGCCTTCAGTTCTCTCGGCGGTGGGTGATGGAAATTCGTCTGGATGTCAAAAGGGGAGTGCCGCTGCAGTGGCGTGGGCGACAGGAGTTACAGCGCGCCCACCGCCGCTGTCGCTCCGTCGTAGACGAGGAAAATGACCTTTTTAAAAGTCGCCGCGCGGGCACTGAAAGAAATGGACACTTAGTGAACTGTAAAATTGAGACCTCGCCCCCTTTCCTTCCGCGAGAACACGCGGCGTCAAAAGGTCCACCCTCTGCCCCGCCCCCGCCCCTCACCGCCCGCACTCCTTCGCCATTACGCGACGGGGCGCAGCGCTCAAAAGCCCTTCCGTTGCACGCCCTTCCCCATCCCTTCTCCCTTCTCTTCTCCCGTCCCTGCGCCGCAACTTTGCACCCCCGGCCCTGAAACCCTCCTGCCCGACTTTGCGATCTCCCCCTCTTCACCACTTGCCGCTATTCCCCTCTCGCCTCACACGACTCTCCCCCGCACCTCAAGCTGTTCTTTTCTTAAGCCCTCTGAAATATTACCCCCGTGACGCTAACTCTCCACATTTCTGCATATTTTCTTCACTCTCTCCTTCCGTTACGTGGTTCTCTTCTGACACTCTCATCTCTCTATAAAGAAATTCTCATATTCATTTTCTTCTTCCTTCATCCCTCCTTGCAAAAAACCTCTCAATTACAAAAATATGATTTTACTTATCGCTCCTTCTTCATCGTTTTCTGCAATGCTTTTCTATATTCCTTTCATCTCTTCTCATGGATCTATCAAACATTTCCCCTGTCATTGTACTTCATTCATATTCCGCTATTCCGTTTCGCCTATCGTCTCATTTCCGCGATTCCGGACTCTCCTCTTTCGCCTTCTACATGCAGAATTCTGGTGGACGACGCACCAAAGCAACTTTCAGAGCGAGATTCAAACTTGCGCGTGAAGGAGAGATTCAATTGTGAGGGGGGGGGGGGCAAAATTACTCAAGTCAAACGCGTTATTGTCTCTTCACGAGCGCTGCGGTACTCTGCGTCTTGAAGAGACATTTATTCGGTAATCTGCGTTGAGATCAGAAGTGCTCTTGACTTCCAACTCCGCCGTCGCTTTCTCGGCTGCTTTTTACGAATTCTTACCTCTGAGTCGGAGGCTTGCTTTAAGAATAGAATCATTTTTACAATGAACAACAATGCTCTTCATTTTGTACAGTTATAGAAACTGTTTTCAGTAGTAATTTTTTTTTCACATGTCAGTGCATAACGCAATAGAAAACGTCATAGAAAGTCATGAAATAAATTGCATTTTAATAAAAAATAATTCAAAATTAATTAAACATATCAAAGCTATATTATTATTTCACAAAATATTTTTTTTTAAATCTTATAAATTGAGAGTCTTATTATGCTGTTGTCCCAGACGCGAGTACTTTTTGCGTGTATCACTTAATTAAAATTGTCGTAATGAAGGTCTTCTGCGAGAATTAATTTGCTTTCAACCTTTTTCAATTAGACTAACTTGTACAATGTTATTGTATTAACATTGTTATTGTATTAACATTGAAATTTTAAAGAAAAGAATTCCATAATGCGGTAGCGCCGAACTACACAAGTTGTCCGAATTCCAAATCAAGCTCGTCATCGCGTTCGGAAAATGCATCATGTAACCGAACAAAAAACGGGCCTCCGGTGAGGCCGAAGGAAGTCCGTCGTTGCGCCTGTCCTTACCTAAGAAGCGCCCCCTTTGTGCGTCACCCCTCGGGCCGCGCCCGTGGAGCGCGTGTGTGCGTGCGTGCGCGTGTCCTCGGCGGCAGGTGGCTGCGCGTCGCCATCGCCGTCACCTTCGCATTCCACGGCCGCGGGGTGCGCGGGGCGCGGGGCGTGGGGCGAAGGCGAACCCGCCCGCAGGAGATCGTGAAAGGCCGCTCGCTACACCCGGGGGCGACGCCCGTCCGAGCCCAGGTGCGCGAGCCCGCAGGGTGGCGGCGTCCCTCGCGCGGCAGGAAGGAAATGGAGCGCTAAAAACCATAGAAATGTATTAATAACCGTGGTTTTGTGGTGAAAGTGGTCAATGGAAAATTGTCCGGTTACCACTCACGACACGATCTGAATTGTTGGCTTTTTCAAGTTTGGATCAACGGGAATTGTCGAATGATTTAATTTTTGTTCGCACATGGTAGGGTTCCTTTGTGTACCACTTGTACATTATGTAATATGACACACTGCGAATATCCCGGCCATATCCACCGTCAGAACTGCTTTACATTTCCACTTACAAATATTACACGACGGAAACAAAACGAAAGTAGAGTTACGAATTATCTCCCCTTATGCTTCTTTGGAAGGATTCAAGTTCTCCGTGATCCACCACTTCCCACCGGACGTGCAAAGCGCTTGAAAATGACGTGTTTTACGTAATAACTCTTCTGGCAGTAAAATAACAACATTAAGAAATGCAAAGAAACTAAATGTTTGATGAAAATCCGTATCTGCACAACATATTCTGATGTTCGCCATTGTAGATAATGACTCAACCAAGTTATACTTTTTTGAATTTTGTAGAAATAAAAGAGGATAAATAAAATTCATTTTCTCTCCCCGTAAGTTGAAGCAAGTGGATCTTTTACTACATTCGCATCCCCACTCGAGGACTAAGCTTAATAAACTCTATCTTAGGTGTCAGAAGACATGCGCTGAAGACACAATTTTTTTTAGTAAATCCATGCCTTAGAAATAAAAAAACTCTTTAGTGGAAACTGAGTTTCGCGGCGGGCGAGGCCGCCCGCGGCCGCGAGCGGCGGTGGCTAAGGGAGGGCGCGTGGCGTTGCAGACGCTGAGCTGACGGAGGAGGAGATGCTGCTGGCGACGGCGGCCGCGGAGAGCGCGGAGGCGGCGCAGGCCGTGCAGCACGCGGCCCTGGTGCTGCGTCTGCGCGACGGCGTCGGCGCGCTCGCTCGCATCCTCAAGACCATCGAGGTGAGCCCGGCCGCGCCGCTTGGCGCCCGACGTGGGGCTGCTCATTTGCAATCTCCTTGGCGAATCGGCATTCTTTTTTTTTATATTCCAGCATTATAAAAGCATGATAAAACCAAATCAAACATCTAACCTAACATTAAAGCATGCAAATGTTAAATAAACCATTCCAATCACAATCCTACACCTTAAAAACGAACCTTTTTTTTGTGCAAGAAATCGGGGAAAAAGCGTTCATAATCGGGCGTTTTACGGCACAAATGATGACGTGTTAGATTTTATGTCACGAATGATTGCGTCATCACACATTCAGCCTTGGGGGCTGCCCGAAGGATCGAAAATTTTTTTTGTTATTTCCAAGCGTTATTAAGCATGAACAACAAACCAAATCAAACATTATGTTAAATAAACCATTCCAATCCCAATCCAACACCTTAAAAAGGGAGCAGTGATGCCAAGCTCAAAATACGAAGAATGCCTATTCCTACTAATGAAAAATCTATTGTATCCAAGCCCTTGAAAGGCCACATGGCTGAACAAAAAGAAAATAAATGAAAAAAAAGCGTTATAAAAGAATCTTTTCTGTTTGCAAGAAATCATTCATAATCGGGCATTTTACGGCACAAATGATGACGTGTTAGATTTTATGTCACGAATGATTGCGTCATCACAGATTCAGCCAATTGTAGCGTGAGAATCGGGGGGAGGTAGAGCTAAATGGAACAGCCGACCACCGTTTACTCGCACGATGTCAAATACCCGAGTCGTCACAGGGAAGTTGTTTCGCAAAATTAAGTTTGATTCTCTTTTAAATGTATAATGCTGTTACACAAAAAATATAGTATGCAACTCGTTTATAATGTTGCTTTATTATATTCGTACAAATTTGAAAACTCGCTCTTAAAGTCGATCGTTTTCGAAACTTGTACTTATGTAATAAAGCTTAACATTATAAACTAATTGCTTAGACTACTATTCTTATTCAGATAAATGAAAAAAATTAACATAATTGTAGAGTGGTTAATATAAAAGCTTTATGTTACGCCTCTTCTTTGAAATTGTCATTTCTTGAGTTGCGTCACTGTTCATCTCAAACAGAGATTTTTTCCAATATGTGCTCAATTTATGGGTTTAGAACAATTAGAATGAATTATTTGTTTTAATTTGGATGGTTTTATTGTATTACAGTCTGAAAATATTTTATTATGATTAACTATTATTTATTGAATATTGTTTACGTCAATGAGGCTTCCTTTAAACGATCAACGTTACGACGAAAACTCAATAATCTTCCCAGAAAACGTACTGCAATTTGGAGACAATCATTAAGATAATACGTTTCAGTGACATATATATATCGGAAATATAGAACCATATTTCTAAGATAACTGGAAAGGAATGTTTAAGGTTTCGGGGACACGTGTTAAACCTTGAGTTTCCAAAAACAAATAATCCCAATCCGCCAACGAGTTGCGGCGTGTTGGGCAGTCCGAGCGAGCTTTTGCGCGTGTGCTTGCAGAACTTCAAGGGCAGCGTGACGCACGTGGAGACGCGGGCGGCCAAGGGGACGGGTGCGCGCGCGGACGCCCTGGTGCGCGTCGACATCTCGCGCCAGCAGCTGCTGCTGCTGCTGCGCGCCCTGCGCCAGAGCGCCGCGCTCGCCTCCGTCGCGCTGCTCGCCGACACGCACGTCAGCATCAAGGGTAAGCCACCCCCACACCTCCTGACTCGCCCTTTTCACTCTCTCGTACACCTTGTGAAGGGAAAGTTATGTAATGCTGCGGAAAACCGATTGCGAGATTTTGGAATATGATACTAGATACCTTGATATACCAAGCCCACACCTGACTCGCCCTTTTCGCTGTCTCGTAGACGTTGTAAAGGGAAAGTTATGTAATGCTGCGAAAAACCGATTGCGAGATTTCAACGGAAATACACGTTTTGGAAAATGATACTAGATACCTTGATATACCACGCCCACACCTCCTGACTCGCCCTTTTCACTCCCTCGTACACGTTGTGAAGGGAAAGTTATGTAATGCTGCGGAAAACCGATTTTGAGATTTCAACGGAAATACACGTTTTGGAATATGATACTAGATACCTTGATATACCACGCCCACACCCCCTGACTCGGCCTTTTCACTCTCTCGTAGACGTTGTAAAGGGAAAGTTATGAAATGCTGCGGAAAACCGATTTCAAGATTTCAACGGAAATACACGTTTTGGGGTCCCTTGATACTGGAAAAGTAGTTTTTTTTCAATACATCTTTCTGTCTGTCTGTGAATAACATTAGTGCCTAACCCATTCGTAGGATTTTTTCCAAAATGAATCTCCGTCGGCCGATCTGGTCCGACTCGATTCTCTGCGATTTTGAAAACCATTTATATTATGAAAGGTACTTTACACGGAGGCCCTGGGATATTTTCAATTGTTTTCTCAAAAATGACTCCAATTCCTTTTTAAGTCAACAGCATTGATCACTAGCGGCCACGTACATTTACATTATATAAATTATTCTAAAAAGTCGTAATATTTGCATCAGTTATAAAAGCAGAACCTAACAAAATTGGACAAAAACACAATACAAACATATAACTTTCTTAAAAACGAAATTGCTTTATCTCACATAGTTAATTTCCGACATCACTAATTACCCAGTTATATATACATATACCTTTCTCATGCCTTTAGTGTATTTTTCTAGGGGGAGGGAAGTTCACACTACTTATAATGTATGTTTCATTTAAACTGATTTTATATTGTATTTTAATTTCAGAAATTATTTTTTTAAGTGCTTAAATATATTGGGAATTAAAGTGAAACGTTCAGGAAATCCCCAAATGTATTAATATTGTTTGAGGAAATTCTAGATTACCTAAATATTACAACCCCGAATTTCTATAATAAGTTAATTTTCTTAAATTTAATTAAAAATAAAACATTAAAATTTGAAGAAATCAATTATTACTTTGTCAACATATAGTATCAAAAGATCGTTTATGACAAAATGATAATTTTTAAAAATACAGTATATCTAGTACACATAGAATCTTACTTTGTATATCTAAAAGCTATCAAATAATAAAGATACACAATTGATGTTGTTCGAGTGTGATAAAATAATATACGAAAAAAAGAATAACTGAAAAACGGTCGTTCAGAAAACTTAATTTAGATCAAATGAGTGCGGTTTTCTCAATTGACCGCATATGTTCAATGTATGCTCGTGGTGTTTCAGACCCCTGGTTCCCCCGTCATGCGTCGGAACTCGACAACTGCAATCATCTGATGACCAAGTACGAGCCTGAGCTCGACATGAACCACCCTGGCTTCGCAGACAAGGTCTACCGCGAACGCCGCAAGATGATCGCCGACATTGCCTTTGCATTTAAGCAGTAAGTGCTCACTTCTCAACACTTCACTCCTTTTATGCGTATTTTAAGACGAGTCATCAGTGCTTTTGAAAAGGCTGAGGCCGAGTAAAATAATTTCCGAGAATATGTATGAGAATTTTAGTATTTTATCAAGGACAAACAGCAATGTTTTCATCGGAATTACTGTTTCATTTCCCGATATCGCTTTAGTATATCCACAACTTGTTTTTATTTTAATTTTCTTAACGTGAATGTAAATGAAACACACGTGTGTAAGCTGCTTACATTCCTGAGAAGGGTGCGGAGGTGTGACATTTTGGCCGAATGAGAGATGATGAAGGAAGGTGGGCTAATTAATGGGAATTTAATGTTTTGGAAAGCTGCCAAGGTCTCGACAGATTTGAAAATTACATGCAGATGTGGCGGTGTTGATGTTTCATCTGAGGAATTTATTTTGGACGATTGGAACTGTCAGTCCTGAAGGCCAATGTAGAGGGTAGTATTAAATTGTGGGGAGTAAGTGGAAGTTGGGTTATAGGAAAATGGTTAATTCTCAGTAAATTATTCAACGTTGTGGGAAATAATGTCGGTGGTTTGGGAGCACCCTGCTAAATTTATACACCGGACAACGCTAAATTTATCATATATTGGAATTTTGTAATTATCTTGAAATGTAAAACCAACATTATTTAAGAGCTAAGACAAAAAAGTAGACTTGATAGTCTTCAATAGTTCGATAATTTTATAATTCATCCATTTCATAATAATATTACGCATACGTTTATACCATAATCATGATCGTTACATCACTAAGTCTCGTGGTATTTACTTGGCGCGACAGCCCGTAAACGGGCTTCGGCCTACCGACGACGTCCCTGCCTAGCGGCTAAGGGTTAAGAGGGTACGTGTGGTTAGCATGTAGACATCCCCACGCCGTATTCCGATCTTCTCAATCAGAGCAGTAAATTTTACCATCGTCACACAGCAACTTATACTGAGACATTGCAAGGAAAACGCACACTATAGTCTTGGCTCGACCGAGAATAGAACCTGCTGCCGCGAAATGGAAAGCTAGCACACTAAGAGCTAGCCACGAGCCCAAGTCGTATGGTACTTATATAATGTAATCTTGAAAGTATTGCTGGTACTTGAAAAAATGAAAAAATTAAAAGTGAAATTTCCGTACATCGTCTCCGCGTACTCTGAGGACGAAATCCAAGTTGTGAGGACGAGCGAGAGCAGAGTGATTCATACGTCGCTTTGTGTTGTTGCAGTGGAGACCCCATCCCCACCATCGAATACACGGCCGCTGAGACCGCCACGTGGCGCGTGGTCTTCAACAACACCGTCGACCTTCTGCCCAAGTACGCGTGCGCTGAGTACAGGCGTGTCTTCGGCATGCTCGAGGAAGCCAACATCTTCACTCCAGACCGCATCCCGCAGCTGGAAGAAATGTCGTCTTTCCTCAACCGTAAGGATTGCCTCTTTTCTCATTGAACACGAAAGTTATTGGTTGTTAAGTGGAAGTTTAAGGAGTATGATATATGAAATATAATTAGTAGCTTTCTTAGCTTAAATAGTAATGACGTTACTGCCAATTAAAATACGCGGTATTAATTAAGGCAGGAGAGTATTCATTTCTAGTTTTTCGCTATGTGAATGGTTTGTATGCCCACTTCAAAGTTGTTTGGAATCTTGAGAGAAAATATGATATGGACGTGTTGACAGTAGCCATCCCAGGAGGATACCTGATAGCGACATTTTACAAAGTAATGTTCGCATTATGCACCAGCGGACGGTATTTCAAGAAGAAATTAACATTTTAAAACGGTCGGTTTCTTTAACAAAGTACGTGGGATCTAAACTGAAATTACTCCTCCCTAAAAATCTTTCTGTATCCTCCCTTGTGATTTTCAAAGAATAAATCTTCTTTCATAGATTCTTTTTACAATTCATGAATAGTAAGGTAAACATAATATTGTAAATCATATTTTCTCTCCGTCTACTTAGAAGTATATTCAAAGGTATTATCTCATTTATTCATTAAATTTCATTCTGCGAGGATCTAAATAATACGAAAGTATTTTATCGTCAGCCGTTTTTCAAGCATTACACGGCAAGACTCTTTTCCGCCCCAAAGACAGGATTGAGGCCTGGCAGCAACCCAGGGGTTTCGACCAGCTGTGAAGTCTCGGCGAGAAAGAGGCATAAATTCAGTAACTATAGACAAGCCAAGGGTGGGGATATTTTCGAATCACAATACCGATGAGCCAACTCATTGTGCTCAAACATATCTGATGGCCGATAGGGAGTAAACATTATATACAAATGTAAACCTACAACATATTGCGAAGTGACTTATACCTAATCTGATTACCTTATTGTCTCATTCGAAACTCACAGCAGTTCATTTTTAATTACTGAGAGCTTTGCAGTGCCAGGAGTTCAGCGTCCTCATACCTCAATAAAGTCATATTTCTCCGCATGGCCGAGATCGCTAAGGCAGTAGTGCCGTAGCGATCTTGGACCGAAGGATCGCGGGTTCGAGTCATAGTTGTATTGTGTTCGTCCTTTCACACCCCTGCCATCATCACATCGTGTCATCCACATAGTTGCCATACTGTTACACGCAACAGTGGTCGCTAATGGCCTAGTACTTGATGCGACTTTAAATAACAAAAAAAAGTTGATATTTCGTACGAAAGCTCTCTATAGATATGTAATAATGATACACTTTTCCAAATTTTGGCTAGATCGGAGTTGAGATCCGCAGCTTGAAGCGTGGCTTGCGTATATCAACATTTGAGTGAAATAATAATAAAAAACAGCCGGTCCGGTTGGCCGAGATCGCTAAGTCAGTAGTGCCGGAGCGATCTCGGACCGAAGGATCGCGGGTTCGAGCCCCGCCCCGGGCACAGTTGTATTGTGTTCGTCCTTTCACACCCCTACCATCATATCGTATCATCCGCATAGTTACCATACCGTTCGAGGGGGGCCGAGATTGCTAAGGCCTGGTCGCTAATGATCTAGTAGTTGATGCGACCTTAAATAACAAAAAATAGTCATATTTCGTCATAAGCTCTCCATTGATTTGTAATAATGATGCACTTGCCGAAAACATTGGCTATGTTCTGTCTCGGAGTTGAGAACCGTGGCTTGCGTTCGCAGGGCACACCGGCTTCCGGCTTCGCCCCGCCGCCGGCCTGCTCACGGCGCGTGACTTCCTGGCCAGCCTGGCCTTCCGGATCTTCCAGAGCACGCAGTACGTGCGCCACACCTCTTCACCCCACCACACCCCCGAACCGTAAGTACTCGTCCCCTAACAGGTGAAATATTTTGCTGCAAGGAATGCTAGTTTTGAACCATAGATAATACGTTTTTGCTTCTTTGCATGCCACATTCTAAAATTTGTATTTTGTGCATCAAAACAAATAGGAATTAATTGCATACGTACTTTTAAAATTTATATTCCCCTCACTTTGGGAACACCAACGGATAAATAAATCCAGGCATCAATTCTTTTATCTCAAGCTGATTTGGCAGAAGTCAAGGTCGTGAAATAAACTATAATGTAACTTCAAGTAATGATGTAAATGAAGGTAAAGTAAAGTCAGGCATCTGGGTAGCCTTGTTTACGACCCACGTCTGTCCGACCAAACGAACAGGAAACAGACGTTCCAACAACACCAAACAACTTGAATGGCGCGAAGCGAAAGTCAACTCTTTTTCTAGATATTAGCCAATGGACAACTTTCGCTTCATAAAACCTGATCAACCGAGAGAACTGGGTTAAAGCGACAACTACTCTATTCGGAATCCAAGGTTACTTGTTCAAGTTCAGAGTACGGCACTTTTTTAAACCTCCGGTTTAGATATAGATACGTGCACTAAATGGCTTTATTCCGGATAGAAACTTAAGATTTCTAAACCTCGCTCTCTCCACTTAGGTAACGAATCTAAGATTTCACAAGTCCGAAACAACTAGTTCAAGGTAAATTCAGCGGGAGAATTTCTTTTTGATCTCTAAAATTTAGATGATCTAATAAACGATGTAGCAAGAATGGGCAAAATGATGACCCAAATGACATGCAATTAACCAATGATAATGTAGATGTAAACATTACCTAAACATTGAGGAAGAAAAGAGTTGTTAGGATATTAAGGGAAAATAGTGCTGGTTCTTTTCTTTAAATTTAAAGTATCGTATGGCAGTTTAAGATTTATTTTAATCTCCTAAGAGATTTACTCTGATAGGCACTCGTTTCTTTCTTCGAAATGAATCAAGAATAAACGCTAATTACGGGGGTTTAAGCGCCGGCTCTGGGGAGCTCGCGGTGCAGCCTATTAGCGGGGGGCGCCAGGTAAGAGGATCCG